AAAGCCCATCAAGACCGAGAAATGAACCATCTAAGAGGATGAATAGGTTGGGAACAGTGCCCACTGTTAGCATCCAGACTGGAAACCTCACCAATATCTGCCATTGGGTGGAGTACTCAGAAAGGTCTTACCTCAGTGGTGGGAATAATCAACTTGGACTACACACTGCTTGGTGAGGGCTAAAAAATTTTAAAAGCAAAACCTAAAAGAATCAAATCCCTTCAATTCAATGTGTTCTTGAAGAAAGCTCAAGCATAGAGGCACCTGGGTAGCTCAGTCAGTTGAGCGTCTGACTTCAGCTCAGGTCACGATCTCACGTTCACAAGTTTGAGCCATGTGTCGGGGTCTATGCTCACAGCTCAGAACCTGGAGCCTGCTTCAGATTCTGTGTCTCCCTCTATCTCTGTTCCTCCCCTACTTGCACTCTGTCTTTCTCTCTCTCTCTGTCTCAAAAATAAATAAAGATTTTTAAAAATTACCAAAAAAAAAAAAAAAAAAGAAAAGAAAAAAGAAAAAAGAAAGCTCAAGTACATGAGAAAGCAAAAATATCCAGCACCCAACAAGGTAAAAATCACAATATCTGGCATCTACTCAAAATTTTCCAGTCATACTAGGAAACTGGAAAGTATGGCCCACGGTGAGGAAAAAAGCAATCAAAATAGAACTGACACAGATATTATAATTAGCAAAGAAAGGCATCAAGGTAGTTGTTATAACTGTCAACCATATGTTCAAGAAGTCAAGTAGAAACACGAGAGATACTTCTAAAAAAGTGAAAATGGCAATGTCTGACTTCAAAAATACACTGAATGGGATTACTGGCAGATTAAACACTGCAGAAAAATAGATTAGTGAACTTGAAGACACAGCAATAAAAATATTTTAAAATGAAACAAAGAGTACAAAAATAATAATTTGAGAAAATAAACAGGACACCAGGAAAGTTGTGTGACACAACAAAATCAAAAAGCCTAATACATGTTATATCTAATGACAACTGGGTCTCTTAAGGAAAAAATAAGGGGAAATTTTAGGAAACAAACATTTGGAGAAACATGGCTGAAACTTTCCAAATTGGATGAAACTTTCCAAATGGCTGAAACTTTCCAATGGATGAAACTATAAACCCACAAATCAAAATAATCCAGTGAGCTCCAAACACAAGAAACAGAACAGGACCAAATTATATCAGAAACAAATTGCTCAAAATCTTAAAAGCAGCTAGAGAAAAAGAAAGGCGTGTCACATTTGGAGAAACACAGATACAGATGGCCGTGGGTTTCTCTGCAGACAGGATACAAGTGAGGAAATAAGAGCAACACCTTGAAAGTAATGAATGAAAAAGTGCTATCCTAGAATTCCATACTGAGTTCAAATAACTTTCAAAAATGAAGGCAAAATACCAACTTTCTCCAGACATACAAAATGTGAGAGAATTCCTCACCAGCAGATCCACATAGCAAAAAATGTTAATAGAAGAAGCCTTTGAGGCAGAAGGAAAATGAAACGTGGAAATGTGATCAATACAAAGGAATAAAGAACATCAGGCTTTACATGGATTGATGAACATATATGTATATGTATACATGTGTATATATATATATATATGTGTGTGTATCTCATACATGAAATATTAACAATATATTATATATAAAATAGAATGTTAACAGAAGGATTATAAACACATCGTTGAGGTTGTTAAATAAAACATTTTTGATGCAATCATCATCAAAATATATTTTTTATGCTTTTTAAATGTTATTTTTACTTTTGAGAGAGAGACAGAGTGCGAGTCGGGGAGGGTGACAGAGGGAGGGAGACATAGAATCTGAAGCAGGCTCCAGGCTCTGAGCTATCAGCACTGAGCCCGACGTGGGGCATGAACCCATGAACCATGGATCACGACCTGAGCCAAAGTTGGATGCTTAACCGACTGAGCCACCCAGGCACCCTCCCAATATATTTTTTAAATAAACACAATATTTTCAAACAGCCAATTACATGTTTTATTTCCTTCTCCTCTTCCCTGCTAACCCATTTTATTTTCAATGCCTGATCTGACATAGGACCGGGGGGTCACATGGACGACTGGTAGACTACCATAGTTCTAGCCAATCTGTGCCTATGTTTTCCACATTCCTCAGGATTCACGTATTCCTTTTTCCCTCTTTGCTGTCCTTCTGTCCTCCCCTCTTCCTTTTTCCTTCTCTTATTCAATCAACACACTAGTAAACATAAAACACTACCAGAGCACACTACCACATGATGGGAATGGAGCCAGCTCAAGGGAAGACTTTGGAAGACACTGACCTTGAACATGGGGAGTCAAAGCAGATGGCCAAAAAGAAGGAACAGAAGATGCCCCAATGAGGAATAACAATGGAGAAAGAAATGAAGGTGGACCTGGGGACAGGATGCCGTGTCTGTGGCCTCAGAGACCTGCATCAAAGATGTCAATTTGCAATTGATCACACAGTGTGTAAACGTTATTGAAAACTTAGGAAAGCAGAATGGCACCCAAGGAGAGACCTGTTCAGAGTAGAATACAAAGCCTAGAACGAGTCCATGGGGGGGAACACGGGCACTGGACACAGGGGCCCCTCGAGGGGGTGGAGGGCTCTAAACAGACCACTCACTCTCGAAGTGGGGGGAGGGAGTCTCAGGAAGAAAATGCATGTGTGCCAGGAAGCCATGAAAATGCACGGGGTTTACAGGAATGGCCAGTATCATTATAATTAGAGTACAAAGAAATGAAACCAAACAGAGAAGTTGCATCTAAGAGACATTATATGCCAAGATAAGAAATCTGGACATTTTCTCATTATCAACAGAGCAGTGAAAATAGAAATGGGGAAAAAAAGATAATAATTAGCCCTTTGGGCTATAAACCATATCATATTCAATTACTGTCAAAAATAAAAGTGCAAAGTGCTATGCTTGAACAATTATTCTTATTAATAATAAAAATGAAGACAATACAGAGGCCCTACTATTAAGGAACATACTCCGCATCGTTTTACAAGTAGTGATGACTATTATAAGTTATGGTAGGAGCCCCGGATGCCCAACTGCTCGTGTCTGCTGAATTTCAGATGCACACAGACCCCATGACAAGCTACACAGCCAACCAGCCCTTCCAAGGATCAGGCACACAGCTTTTATCTTTCTGGAACTGACCTCTAACCAAAGGAACCATAGTAATATCTCCTCAAGAAGAACATCAAGCTAATGGCAAGTCCCCATCAAAGAGCATGCACTGCTTTGAAGTAGTAAACCTGAAGTTGTTTCCAGGGTAATGGGAGAAAGGAGAAACTCATTTTATGGGATCAAAGAGAAATGGAATATCAGGTGTGTCAGCCGTTGCAGCCGTGAGCACATTCATGGATCCCAGAAACAAAAAGACGTAAGGAGATGACCAATGGAAAGAGAGAGAAAAGGATGACAGCAACACAGTGCCACGTACGGTAAATGTTGCCCAGAAATGCCAGCGCAGAGGTAGGATTTAGCAGAGCGGAAGAGGAGCCTGTCGTCCAGAAGCCGGATGACGCTGTGGCCGAAGGGGACCCTTGAATCTAGGATGGGGTTGCTTCTGGGATGGGGAGCCTCACCTCCAGAAGGTCTCACTGTCTGCAGGGGTAGCAAAGCGGCAATGGTACCACTGCTAAGCACTCCCTGCGCCCCACAGCGCCCATTCCCTCCCTGATTCCTGAGCCAGCAGAAGCCGAGATTCCTGGAGCCACTACTCCGCAGGCTCCTTCTCCCTCCCTGGAACCCCTCGTGCCCGCAGCTCCCCTCCCAAGCCCTTCACTTGGAAAGCTGACTGACCACTCTACTCCCTAGGCCCCAGGTTCACATTCCAGTATTTTACATTTGTTTTGTACAACTTTCTTTTTTTTTTAAATATTTTTAAAATTTATTTCTAGGAGAGACAGAGAGAGAGAGACAGCGTGAGCAGGGGAGGGTCAGAGAGAGAGGGAGTCACGGACTGAAACAGGCTCCAGGCTCTGAGCTGGCAGTCAGCACAGAGCCCGACGCGGGGCTCGAACCCACCAACCGCGAGATCATGACCTAAGCGAAAGTCGGACGCTTAACCGACTAAGTCACCCAGGCGCCCCAGTTTTGTACAACTTTCTGACGTCTCATGAGATCCCGACAACAAAAATGAATCATTTTAGAACGGCCCCCCACCTCCAACGTTTGACACGGTTCTTTGCAAATGGCCAAGTCCGATAAACTCTTAGATGGCAAGTGAGGGAATAAGGAAATGAAAGCCAGGATAATGTAGTAGTTATGAGAACTAAATCTGGGGGAAAAAAGACCTCATTTTTGAAATGAGGTGGGACCAAAACCCAACCTTATGAGATGTTCCCATCCGATATATTCTTTGAGTTACTCTCCAGTTTTCTAGAAGGTATTTTGTAATAATGTTTTCTTTTTGTATTAATTTAAGTAAATACTAATATATTCCAGATCATCAAAATGGCAGCCATAGACTCAATTTCCCCACATATTTCACTGAAAGCGTTTATGCGACTTTTGTTACTCTTTTCATCAGTGGAGGAAAGAAGGAAGACACAACGCATAAATGAGGTTCAAAAGAAGGTTCAAGTAGAGAAAAGTGGAGGTGCAGGCAGTGAACATAAAAAAGGAACTGAGTCACCATCGTGGGGTGAAGTGTCCCCACACCGGGGTCACCTCAGTGTCAGGGAACAGCGTCATCAGTCCCAGTCAATTACTGCTGTCGATTTGAACTTCAATAATTTTGTGACGTGTCCACTGTAAAACAGGTTCAGAGGCTTAGTTCAGGTGCACCTGTACGTTCGGCTAGAAAATAACTAAAGACAGCATAATATCAAGGCGTTCCATAAAAAACAGTTTTCCACGGAGAGATATTTAAAAGGCTGAAAAATGTTAAGTTCGGTTTTCAGTTAGGCATTTAGAGCACGTCCGCCCACCCTGCCCCCCATTGCTGATGTCAGCGGGGTAATAAACACACTTACTGTAGGCACATCCGTACACTTCTATCCGCATCCCAATCCTGCCCTTAGGGTTCCAGGCTACAGGGAGAAAGCGCAGGAACCTGGCTTCGAAGGGAGGCTCGAGTCTGTAATGCACCACGCTGTCTGCGTTCGTGTTTCCTGGAAAACCCTGGGAGAAAACAGAGAAAGGGGTCAATGTGTCTGCAAAATGTCGAATTCATGCTGTCACCTCTCATGCCCGTGAGGGACGGATGCCTCACTTTGTTACTATGCAAAAGGCTGCCTGCTTTACAGAAACACTGCAAACGTTTGAGAGGCTGTGTGACAACCTTTCTTCAGGGCCTGGATGGGTCGCCATTGTCTAGGTTTTCCTTATTTGCAGGTAGATGAGGAATTTGCAGACGCTCACACACGACCCCACATCCAAGGCAATCAAAGGCAATGCCAACCCGCAGTCTGTGCAATTTGAACCCTACACTCAGGAATTTGGGAGCTGGAAGGGACCCAGACAAGGTTCTAGTTCAAAACCCTGGATTAATAAATGCAAAACCAAGGTCTAAGAAAGTAGGAAGATTCTGCGGAGGTAGGCGAGCCATGATCTGCCATGGCCAGGACTAGATTCTGGGGCTTTGGATGTCAATCCCGGTGCTCACTGGGTGTTCTCAGGTTGCCCCAAATTAGGAGCACTTCAGGAGTGCCTGGGAGGCCCACAAGACAGAGGGGGTGTCTGCTTAGCCACAAGCATTTGGCCCCACGCCTGGAGGGGCCAGCATGAGAACAAAGGAGGTCGCTATAAGGCATATGTGACCTGTTCCCCATGGTGTTGTTTTTAATGTAAACATCAGCATATAGGGAAACAAACAAAAAGGTGACGTTTCCGTACACATTGGCTATAGATATGCTACTTGTGATTTAATCATTTTGAAGGTAACACTTACATACGTGCAAGAAAAACTATAAAAGAGCACAAACTGCAACATACAGAGGTGGATTCCTATGCAGCCTCTCGACCCCGTCCAGGCAAGGTCTCTTTAACAGCATTTACCCAAGTGTTCTGTACTTTTATGCGGGAAAAAAAAGATGGGTGGGTTTCAGGTGAAACGAATTTTGTTATCCCCTATCAGCAAATCCCCTTCCCTCACCCCTGCTGCCTTGCCCACCTTAGTAAGCACTAACGCTCGCACATCAATACTCAGAAAGCTTTAGGATGGATCAGAAGACCCTAACTCGTGTGCTAACAGTTCCTCCACTCTGCATCGCCAAAGGCCATCAAAATGCTGGGCTCCTCCGTCCCGCCCCCCGAGCCCCAGAAAGGCTCTAGCCTCCTTTGGACCAGGATTGCTACCAGCTCTTTCTGCTCTGAGCATTTTAGTTTGCCCCTGAAGCTTTGTATTTTTTTAAATTAGAGAGAGAGAGAGAGAGCCAGCGGGGGAAAGGGGCAGAGGGAGAGAGAGAGCATCTTAAGCTGAACATGGAGCCTGAATCAGGGCTGGATCCCACCATCCTGGGATCATGACCTTAATTGAAATCAAGAATCGGATGCTGAACCGACTGAGCCCCCCTGAAGCTTAACATAGCTTTTTAATATTGATTCCACTGAGGGGCGCCTGGGTGGCTTAGTCGGTTAAGCATCCGACTTTCGCTTAGGTCATGATCTCGCAGTTCGTGGGTTCGAGCCCCACGTCGGGCTCTGTGCTGACTGCCAGCTCAGAGCCTGGAGCCTGTTTCAGTCTGTGACTCCCTCTCTCTCTGACCCTCCCCTGCTCATGCTGTCTCTCTCTCTCTCTCTCCTAGAAGTAAATAAAACATTAAAAAAAAAAAAAGTGTTGAATTCTAAAAAAAAAAAAAAAAAAATTGATTCCATTGATTCTTAACTAATTTTCCCGGATGGCCTATGGTGTAATAGTGAAGCTATAACAACCTAAAGTTTTCCTAACTGTTACACAGCAACTTAATAGAAAATGCTGCCCTATCCAAGGACGTAAGCAGTTTATGCTCTGAAAGAGTAAGGGCCCTTCAGCTGAGGTATGCGTCTTTTAAAATCTAATGCCGAATGTTAAATCTATCTAAACTTCTCAGTTCTTTGGAAGCCACAGTCAAAACTTCAAGTTCTACGCTTTTTGCTCTCTCCAGGTTTTATGGTCCAGAGAGCCAGAGATGTCCTCATAATAGTCCTTCCTATGAGAGTAAGAAAATCAGGGAACAAAAGTCGACCCTTTCTTGGGCCTGCATCAGGTCAGACTCACCCTCCTGCCCGCGGTTAACACAAACAGCCAGATATGATCGTAGAGCACAGGAGCGAAGCTCTTCTGAGCTCGGCCGGGAATGACGCCAGCCTCGTTGTCTGGCTTTGTGAAACCCTAGGCCCGGCTTAACGACCAAACCCAACCCAACCAAGCCCAATCACTAATACATAAGCCACGGCAACCAGGTATAAACAGAGGGAACTAAGAATATCAAAACCTCCAATGTGACGGGGGGGCGGGGGGTGCTCTAGCAGTCAGGTGCTATAATCCCTCCTCTTCGCTGGTGAATGAAACACTAACTCAGAGGCACTCAGTCATTTCTCTCTTTTTCAATGAAAGCGTAATCTTTGCCCTACATCATCTTTTGCTCAAGGGTTAGCAATTGTTATGCCAAGATCAGGTAAACTCTTTCCACCGCCTCCGCACTCCGAGTGGGAAGTTGGGGATGTGCACTCCCTACCCCTGCCTTCGCGCGGGAACCGCAGGCTGACACGGGCAGGAACCACACGGTACCAGCTCCACCACCCGCCGGCCCACGGTCTTGGCTGTCATTATGGGCTGCAGGCCACAGTTCCTTCATCTACAAACCAGCTTGTGAAACCTAACTCCAAAGGTTGAGATGCTACTGAGATCGTATCTGAAAAGTAACGTTCCCATATCTGCCAGGAGGTGGGTGGTCCATGAGCGCCGGCCACTGCGGCTGTGCTCCTGGCTGCCATTTTGGTTTTTGTCAGTACATTTGGCCGGGGTGGCTCATCTGTCACACTCAGCATCCTGTTACCTAACATCTCAGGTTCAATACCCAAGATGTGCAGATAAACAGTGAAGGGAGGAGCATCAGCTCACACATTCATGGTGATGCCAAACTTACAATTCGTTTTAAGGACTGAAGTCAAGGGGCACTCGGTGTCTCAGTCAGTTAAGCAACTGACTCTCAATTTCAGCTCAGGTCATGGGATCAAGCCCAACGTTGGGCTCTGTGCTGACATAGCGGAGCCTGCTTGGGATTCTCTCTCTCCCTCCTTCTCTCTCTGCCCCTCCCCACCATGTACTCTCTCTCTCTCTCTCACTCTAAAAATAAATAAATAAACTTTAAAAAAATAATTGAAGTCAATATTTGAGTGTAGCTGACAAAAATTCTAAACCTCAGCATGAAACCTATAATTAAATTACTTACTAAGAAGGATACTTAAATTGTTTTATTTTCCTTATATATCACTACTTCTCTCTAAAATACTTTGTTTATTGAATATAAATTCTGAAAATCGTCCTTCAGATTGTGTGATGACAGTACCAGACAGCAAAAGGAATTTCTAGTTCCATTTTAAAGGAATTTAGAATACTGCTTAAGAAATATTTCAAGTGGCAATAATGTCTTGATAGTCTATGACAAGTGGAGATTCAGAATGCCCTCTTTACAACTTCTGAGAATCTGTGCTCAATACCAAACATTCATCGTGTATGGTTTTAATTATATTCAAATACTTGGGGTGTATGTATGTGCATGTGCACACCTATGTGATTATCCTAACTCATTCTAATTTTAAGGAATTACATTATTTTTGTATTATGTAGAATTACCAACAGTCGTTTTGGATACAGCTCAATGATCCATCTCCTGAGAGATACAGAGAGTAAGTGAAATGAGTCTGGCACAGGAGAGATCTCTGCTAGCACCTCACTCTCACGTTTGGGGCTAATTACTGAAACGATCCCAGATACTGCTAAGCTAATGTGTCTCTTTTTTGGAGAAGGTCTAATCAATTATTTGCATCATATACGTTTGCTTTAGTGTTTCCACAACAGTCAGGGATGCACAGGCTGGACGCGGATTGGCAAGGACAAAAGCTCACTTTTGCGCTGTTCTAACATGCGGGGAGGTGAAGACCCCCCAGGAGCAGAAAGAAGCGGTCCCGGTGGAAGTGAGCTGCCCTGCGCAATTCCTCAGTGGCTCTCGCCCAGGTTAGAGGTCCCCTCCACCGGGGCCTGTGAAAATCGAAAATCGGCCCCTTCCAATTTCTTCCTCGTCTCTCGTTACAGGAGTGACCTCAGAAAAGGAACCACGTTCATATATAAAGTAGGAACAAGAAAAACTATCTTACAATTCTGATGAGTTAGTGTGAGAGTTTCACGGGTTTATCATCTAACCATTTTCTTCATGGCATTCCTGCCGGGGGTCACTGGTGGGGGGGGGGTTGGGTGTGGCGTGGGCTAAATGGGTGATGGACATTAAGGAACACCTGTTGGGATGAGCAACATGCAAGTGTGTTACATGCAAGTGTGATGAATCACTAATTCTATTCCTGAAATCATTATTACACTATATGTTAACTAATTTGGATGTAAATTTAAAAAAATAAGCTAATGTTTGAAAATGTTCACAACAGTACCTGGCATAATAAATATTATATATCACAATTAAATAAACTAATTGCACTCAATATGCATTATACATCACAATGAATAAATAACACATGAATAGGAAAAAAAAAAAAAAAAGGAAACCAACACCCTTCCCCACTATCGATCACCAGAAACACTTCAGCCAGATGTGGACTCAATATTCAATCGTTTTAAAGGCATCACAGTTTAATGCTTCATCCACGATTAGGAACAAACAACGTTTGATGAAGTTTCCGTCTCCCCATTAGCTAGGCTGCAGGGACCTGCATGGCTTGGGCTCTGCTCACGTGCTACAGACGCATTTCCAAAATCATCTGTTTTAGCAATCGATGACATTTCTGGAAAGCTGCCAACTCTGCATTTCGTTTCTTCACCAGTCACATCAGTAGGATCTAAATCATGGGTGGGAATCGTGCTGAGGCTCACGCAGAGCCCCAGTGTCTAGAGTGATGTGCCCCGTCCCATTCTGCATGAGAGTCAACAAATGACCTTCGAGATGCCTATCATGTATTTGCTATTT